TAAGGACAGAACGCTTAAGTTACTTTATTGATACATTTTAGATGTTTCTGTAATTTTTTCTGTGTTAATTTTTATTTTTTCCTGCCCTTTTACCATTTGAATTTTTTTCTCTGCGCCTTTTTTTGGAGGGGGGCATGGCCCCCTCGATTGGCCTCTGCGATTACATCAGTAACGTATATTCAACATCTTGAGTTATCTGAATTTGTTTTGATAAAATACATTTCCGTCATTTTTCTTTGCTTTTTAGGGCATTTTAAAAACATTTAAAGAGTGTTTTATTGATCATTTTTGGCGATGTTTTGATAATCAAAATCCACCCACTAGTGATTATATTTCCCCAATCCTAGGGATACTACAAGATTTCCCGATTGTGAGTCGAATGTAATCGGTAAATTAAAATAGATTTTTATTCAAAATGTTTTGGTCAAATGTGTCATATTACAGACTATATAGAATGACGCAGGCCAACTTCAGCTGATGCTGTGATACGATTTTATTCGTTTTAATCATTTTTCGAAAATATTTTATTTTCTCGCTTCGGAGTGGAGAGAAAGATATGTAAAGCTGTGCGAAACATACTGCTAATTTTTAGCAGAAAAACTCTTACTACAGGGCTCTGGCAACGACAATGTGGATAAATCCAGTTGCTAAATGGAGAAAAAAATGCTATCACACGTGTTGTAGACAGTATCCATGTTTTGTGTGTCCTTATTTCCAAAAATTCTGAAGATGGTAACACCGCTATCCGTCCGTCTGTGAACAACGCTAGAGGCTAAGCCATATTTGCCGATTTTCTCCAAAATTTAAATTCCTCAATCGATCTGGCTGATGTCGCGGCCCCTAGAATTTGAAACCGTTATTTAGTTTTGGGTGTACATTACATGAAGCTACTGGGACATTTTCCAAATTTTCAAAAGAAACTCCGTTTATGATAAAACAAATTGTTAAATAGTGTGAAGGACATTTAAGAGAATGGTATAAGTCTCACATTTGTTAATAACCCTGACTTTTGGAAAATTGCAAAAGTTCGAAATTTTTTGAGTTTTCCTACACCTAAACTATTAAAGATAAAGATTTTTCCCTTATTGATCTCTGTTCCTTAAATATAGGTTTTGAAATAAGGTCACGTACAGATTTTCGAAAATTTGAGTACTTTTTCACGTCTTTTTGCGTGAAAATAGGGCTTGAAAGTACGCACTGTTTTTGCACCATTAGTTACTTGAAAGTTACGTGAAAATTTGAAATTAATAGTAACTGATTTTTTTAATCCCCCCCCCCCCGTAGATCTGCGCACGCTAATTGCTATGATACTTGTCTGACAACTAGGAAATCATTAAATTTATTTCCTTTGTTTAATGGAATCTTAAGGGAATTCTGGTCCAATTACTTACAAAAAAATTAATAATTGAGGATTATCTGTATTATAAATTAATGATCTCATCTTTTTCGTAATTCTTAAAAATTCTTTCTTAAATTCCAGTTCATATCTTGTCTATTTAAATTGTGCTGAATTTACAATTATATGTAACCATTTTATTGGGAAAAGAAACCATATAAACATTTTATTGGGAAAAGAAATGATGTTTGGAACATGAGGTAAAAATATTTAAGAGTTAAATATTACTTTCATTTGCATCATGCATACAATTTAATTTTATGAGTACTCAATAAATATTTTCCTTGTTTCACATGTGGACACAAACAATTAGCATATGTAAGAATTAAGAAAAAAACAATGTTAGAAAATCTGGTATGTGAAAGATTATGTATTAGTGGTAATATCATATATTATTCATCCATGGTAATACGTACTACATTATTTTTTACAATTATTACCACACATTTTGATACTTATAATACCAATAGCTTAAAAATGATTGTTCATACAATCACTTTTCTTTTTTAATAAGACATCCTTATGAAATTCAAAGTCTTTCTGTTCGTATTGAATTAGATCGTTAGCGAAGAAAATGGTTTAACGTTTATCAATATGCGTCATCCCGCGTTTTTTCAGTAGTTATCATGGAAGCCACATGGAGATACACCATTTAGCTCGATGCCATACTTCAGGCTCAGAAAATGTATTTAATGAATCATTTGTTACATACGAATATTACATTTTGTTCTCTTATTACTTACTGCTATCATCCAGGAATTAAGAAAATATTTGCCATCAAATTTTTGTTGGTATTCAATACAAATCAATTTTCTCTTATAACAAGTTTCTAATAGTACAATTGCTTTGGAGTAACGAGCGCTCCTACGACATACTACAGAAAAGTGCAAAGCGTTAGTCTTTTGTCGCTATTCCTCATGGTATGGTATTGGAACGGGAGATGACGTTTGTTGAGGTTAGGCGAAAGAGAAACGGGTAGAAGATTCATAAAATGTTGACTATGTGCAAGCCACTGGATATCCTGTGATCTCAAGAAGCGCGTTTCTAGTCTAATGCGCAGTGTTCCTTAGTGTGATGAACATGAATTCGCTGTTGGATAACGATTCAGCTGTAGCTGAAGAAATGGTACAGTATCGTATTTAGTGACATACGACATTAGTTTTCAGTTGCCTCTGCTCCAAATGAAGCTTCATTTTGCCTTTCTGATACATTTTTTTAAGAATTATATCGTTGGAATCCTGACTGCGTCGATTTTTGGATGTATAATCCAAATTTGAAAACTGTAGTAGAGACAATGAAAGTAAATTACGTATTCGTACCCATTTGTACATATTTATGAGTTTCAGTTCTTCTATGGAACAACATTTTCTTTGAGTTGGCGTAATAAATTACTTATTCAGCTCTATCTTATTAGTATTCAGATTACCATGAAGATTGCACTTCATAATGCTAATTGAATGAAGTATTGAAATATATTGTAGTAGTTAACTCTTGTATTATTGTAAGAAATGTTAAGAAATATTCCTATTTCAATGATTCTTCTGGTTGCCTCCTCTCAAAAGGTCTAGTTTACTTAAGAACCTCAACACGGTATAAAGTACTTGAGCACCGTGGAGGTATATTGATCTGAAGAAACAGTAAAATTAGCAAATTTACTTGAATGTACAAGGGCATATCCTGTGTATGAGAAAATATTTCTTGAAGATTCTGTAAAATTGTAATGCGAGAAATTAGTTGCTTTCAGAAGTAAGAGTTGAAAATTTCAGCTTTTGCCTCATGTATAATTGCTATATTTGTTTATACATTTAATGTGCGCTGAAGAAAAACAAGCATTTCATATAATTAATCTTATTTTAATGTTACAAGGGAAGGTGCTATATGGTGAATTATTTTGTAAATTTATTACAAATTTAGTTATTGAGTCTATGATATAACTTAGTACTCTGCGAGTTCTCAGTTGTAGATACATTCACATGGGTAATGTACATTGGCAAAGGTGGTGTTAAACAGTACTCTACTGAAGGTATAATGAATTCTCCAAAGCATTGACTTTTTATCTCTGATTAATGTATTTATGTTGCCAAATAATCTGTTTACATGATGAAGGTCCAAAAGGGAAGAGAGGCAAATGTATAGGACAGCATTCTCTGTTTTGGAATTGATGTTTGCTTGTGTTTACTTAAAGAATGAAAGGATAGAGGTTGGCCATTATCAATTTGAAGAAAGAGAACACAACAGCAGCATTGCCTTCATCTTGTGCTATTGTTTACACACAATGTATTAATTACATATTGTGTTTTTAAATGAACTAACAGTTGTAGGATATTATCTATTATATTGAGGTTAATAATTTGTCATATTTTCACATTATTTAAGTTTGGAATTTCTTGAATGTTTTGCCAGAAAGTACTTTAAACTTCAGTGTGTTAATAGTGTGTAAAATGAGAGATTTAAAATAATGCTAAAGAAACTAGCTGTAATTCTTTTATGAGTATTTCGTAAAGAGGGTAATAGTCTCAAATTTAAAAGTACAATTGAAATTTGACCGGACAATGAAGGTTCCTGAATACAGTAACACTTAAGCATTGTCTGAATTAATTAGTTCATTTATTGACCAAATTAACACAGGAACTGATGTGAGAACATTAAATGTTATGCAAAATTTATCTTGTGTTTGTGAGGTAGCAATACTGTTATCAGTTATTTAAGTGTATTGTCAGATCAGGCATTCAATCCAGTAGTGTGTGTATGTTATGTATATAATGGAACAATTGGTTTCAGTATTTTATTTTTGTATTTTTAATGTGAGGTTAAAGGATTTTAGATCAATTAAAGTGTATAAATTAGTTTTTGTAGTATTGTTTACTTGGGAATCTACCATGAATTTGCGTAGAAGCTAATAAATTAAATTATTCTGAAATGTTTTTGGAATTTCATAAGTGTGAAATTGTACATGAAATATTGTGAATAAAATGTTTTAATAAAATTGTACCAACTTTGAAGCAAATACTGAAATTCTCTAAAATAATTTTAACTGAAAAATTGCAGAGAATGCAAATGATGCAGACATTTAGTATTTAAAATATAGACATTTAGCTTTTAAAATATTGAGTGATATTAATTAAATCAGATTAACATTCAAAGGAAAACTACACAGTCTTATAAATGTTTAAAGATTATATGGAAATGAGATTATATTTTAGTTGTACAAAATAAAATACACTTAAAAAATAATGTGCAGTTTTGCGAGTCTTTATTTTGTCAGTAGGCCGATCATTTGAGTAATATGTTCACTGAAATTGTTTTGCAATGAATGAAGGCTTGTAAATTTTGGTTTTAAATTTTGTCAATTTATTAAAATGTTTCCCTCTCCCTTTTTTTATATAAAGAACTTAAATTTTAAGTTGAACAGTTTTGTTTTTCTTTGGAGGGCCTTTCTAAAGCATTGTCAAGTGTAGTTACCTTTCATATTTTCAAAGAGTGTAAGGAATTAGTGAAAGGATAGACAAAGCCTAGCATAAAAGCAAAAGGGAATGTGAATATCACTGACCAGATAGTCAGTTTTTTATTTTTATTTTGCATTTAGTTTAAATTATTACTAGCAATGGAAGAAGGTAAATGACTTGTCTCGTAATTCGTCTTTTTATTGACTTTCGGTTATTGTTCTGACACTTTTTTTTATCAATATTTGAACTAATAATCTTCAAAGAAATTGTTTTTAAGTAAACCTGTGAACATGAAAGAAAGACTTCCTTTGCATTTCTCTCCATTTGTCTAATGATTTAGGGGATTTTAATGAAAATTTTTTTTTTTTTCTTTTCACTTTAGAACTATGCCGTTTAGTATATAAATTAATTTTGTTTTGAATGATCCATTTTTATTGCATTTTTTTGTTGACATTGACTAATAGGTCATTTTTTACCTTTTTTTATAATTTTCATTGATTTTAATATTTTGATAGTACTTGCTTGAAATAATAACGAGATGCAACAAATGTTCTCCACAGAATTCCTGAGTAGCCTATTCAATTTCTTTGCTCAGAAATTGTAGTGTAATCTAAGGTTCATGTCACACCTATCAATGTTATTGTTGTCTGGCCCATTTTGGAATAACTATACAGGTTTTCTGGTAATGAACAGTCAAACCAAAAGTTTGCCAGCTGAGTGCACTTTAACAAATGGAAGTATTGATTACATTAGTAATGTATCCAGCTTGAGTTGTTCATTTGAACTGATTTTGATCACATTTTCTCTGCTTTGATGGCATTTTTAATTTTTGGCAGTGTATTAGGTCATCAAAATCTGCCCCCTACTAATTATTATTTTGGCCATAGTAGTCGCGTGAGGGATCTTTAGTATTGTTTAATATGACATTCCAATAGCCAATGCTTTCTCACTGTTTGCTTAACTCACTGTTGACTTCTTGTTTACTGATCTCTCAATAGCATTTGACAGTGTATCTAGTGAAGTACTGTCAACAAAACAATTGTCTAAGCCACATTTTAAGAAAATGGAGAAAAATGACGTTAAAGTATTGTAATCCAGAGAGAAAGAGCTGTGAAGGAAAAAAATGACTACTTCATTCTTAACTTTATAGTGAAAAATTGATCAAACTAACAATGTACAATAGTAGAGTACCTTCTTAGGTAATCAATGGTGTCAATAATTAATTTTTCATTTTGGGGGGTTAGAATGTATAATTTGCTTTCCTTTTTATTGTTTGAAAAGAAACTTTGCAATAGATGAATAAGCACTTCTCTCCTTGCTTTCTAGGACTCCCTGATGCTGCATTCGGATATCGGAGAGGAGTTTGAGGAGAGCACTGAGGCTATGCTCAAGAGCATATTACGGGTGGACGTGGTGCAACTGGGGCAGGAAGACGACGATGACTTTGCAGGTTGGTTTGCAGCGAAACTTCTTTCCCTCCATCTCTGAACAACGCCAAACTTGATAACCATGTATTGTTCTGGCTAATGTTGTGGTGCCTTGAATTGGATATGGATATTTTGGTTTTGGGGAGGTACTTTACATGAAGTCCAAATTAGATTTTCAAAATTTTCTCCCAAGTGGGTCCTAATTTTTAATAATAAAAATAATAAACCTAACATTTTTTTTCCAGATATGATAATTTCAAAAAATATTATTTCAAAAATATTGATAAAGAGGGTCTTAACTGAAATTGGACTCTAAAATAGTTTTTGATCCACTCATACAGTGAAAATCTTGAATCTTAAATGGTAGGGCTGTTATGATTGTAAGCTACCTGCCTTTAATCCTTGAAATGTATACAAAACACATTATGTAGCATACATTATTTATTTAATTAACTTGAACTAATGTACTAGTGATACTGGCAAATGAATACTAACAAACAATGTGCCTTGAAAAATTAACAATTTAAATAGTGGATAGGTTACACTTACAAGTCATTGAAAAATTCTTTAATATTATTTCTTGCGAACATTATTTTACATTAAGCTCCACAGCATTATATTGGTACTTTGTGCAACTATATTTTTCAGATCACTCCGTAACTATCAAATGATGCAATTGATAACAGGTTGTATGTTGTCATGCAACAGGTGGTCAATAAGTAATACACAAGGCAATCATAAATAATTAACCCTATAATGGTATCATGTAACAATGTTTCATCAATGGTAATGTTGGGCTTGAGAGATCTATTCAAATTTTTCTTCAGAATTGTGTGTAGAAATTAATTTCTATTCTTAGCAAAATATACTTTTTCTAGATGAGAAATAAAACAATTTGAAGTGATCTTCAGACAAATTCATTACACAACATATCTTCGTTTGAGCTTTTATTGTGAACTGTGGCACTGCTGGTAAACGTGTAGTAATAATGTTCCTATGATGTGTACAAATATTAATAGTATGTTTATTATATATTTAGGAGCCCCCATGATCCATTTCAATAAATAGATGCAATGCCATTCTCAATAGACTTCGTTAAATGGCCGCCATACCAAAATACCTGTTGTTTTTTCAAACTTTTTATTAAATCACCATAGCGCTGGAAAATACGTGTGTAATCTGAAAAGTAAAGAATTGAAGTGAATGGTTGATTTGAAAACGTTTTATGACAAAGTAGGAACAATAATTACGAGAAGAAATACTATATGGTATTTTTGTATAGTACTTTTTAATAGATTAATATGTAATATCTCTGAGATCAAGCAGGAATATTTTTGAGGGTGATAATCCAAAATAGGTCAGTCAAAAATGTCTTATCAACAGATAAAGGAAATTTACTTTTTTTATGTATTAATTGTCATGATTTCTCTGTCTGTTGGACAGACAAATGTTTTTTGAAACAATGAATTAAATAACATATTAAAACATTAAGGAGTCTGGCACAGAATTAAACTAAATCTCTCGTCATCACGTTGATATTTTAATTTTTTAAATCTTGACAGCCCTGGCATTTTGAATAATGAACCCAGAAACTATTAAAGTTTATCCCTGGAGATATTATGTATACAAACCCACAGTATCATTAAGGTCGCACTTGAATCAAATTTATTCACAAACCTTATTGACAGTGTTCTGTTTAAAATAAGAATCACCTAAAACATTTATAATTTGTGATATGTTCCGTTTTCCTTTGTGTAACTGTACTCCCATTTTAATCTGTTTCTTCCCCATTTTCATCTGTTCATTAATGTTTTTTACCTTTTTTCTTTGCACCTTTTGCAAATGATAATGTCTCTTTTTTATGTTAATCTGCTCCCTCTCAATTCATTATCTCCTGCCCCATCTCCTTGAAGAGAGGATGTATTAATTTACAATTTGTTTTTTCCTTATTTGTGTTAATTTTGAATTTCTTTTTAATTTTATAATTTTTTTATGAATATTAACATATTTTTGTAAGTTCATTTCCAACAATATCAAAATTTGTTTTCATTTACAGGTAAGTATATTAATTCTTTTTTCACACCTGATGATGCATATAAATATTACATGAAAAGTCCAATACCGTATGAAAACTTGTGTTGAAATATTGATTGTCAGAGAATTTTCACAGAAACTTAAATTTCCAAATATTAATACAGTTTACATTACAATGTTTTCTTCTTGCTTTATTTGAAAGACAATAAAGTGTTTTTCACAACACAATCCACTGGGAAAGTATTATCTTAGTCCACGAACTGATTAGTAATAAAAGCGTTTGTGGTCCAGTTTCCTTTTTCTTCTTTAGTAGCATTGCTTAAGTCTAGGACCCTTAGTTGGTTTAAATAGTATGTACCAAAAAAATGTGACCAAGCATGAAGCATTGTACACCTTTAGTATTTTATTGGTTTCTATTATGTCGCTTCTTTCTTCTCTCTTTTGTAAGGTTAACAATGACGATTTTTTACATCTTTTGTAATGTTGCAGATTTTTAATAAAAATTGGACCCGTAGTTGCTATCCTATAAAAAAATACAGAGGGTGGCAATTCAAAGCTCATGTCTTTTTTGAAATATAGGGACCACTTCATATCAAAAACTACAAAAATGTATATTGGTTGTGTTACAGATGAGTACACCTCTTCATATCGTGCTCCAGTTATGCCCATTACTCCATTAAAGACTCTGAAGAAATCTCGAAAGTGTAACTGTGGAGCGTTGAATTCTACTTCCAAAGACAAGCGGAACAAGAAGTGCACTTGTGATGCGAGTTCAGATGCTTCAGAGTCACCTCGTCGGCCAACCGCTCGGAAAAAGCGCTCCAAAGGCCTATTTGAATGTGACATGTGTGATCGCAGCTTCGTGCAACTTGCTCTCTTGGAAGTCCACAAGAAACAACATCAAGAATCGTGTGTGTGTGACGTTTGTAATGAAACATTCCCCAACCAGGATGCTTTGTTAGAACATCAGGATCGTCTCTCCCACAAGACTGTTTATAGGTGCAATATGTGTATTGCAACTTTTGCAACACGCAGAAGACTGTCGACCCACAAGAGAGTTCACGTACAAGAACGACCTTTTCCTTGTGATTTCTGTAATGCTTGCTTTCTCAGAAAGTCCAGCTTGTCAGCACATCTACGTGCAAAGCCATTAGGTCAGCCTGTAGTTCAACAAGGGGATTTGACGTGTGATGGGTGCAAACTTGCTTTCATATCCTTTTGTGGTAAACTGAAGCACTGTCAAGTACTCCATCCTGAAAGCGTAGTGCTTGCAGAAAACGGACAAGCAAAATCCATCATAAATGTTTTTAGCCAGGTAAAGATATTTTTCACTACTAATTTCATGTTTAACCCACACAGGCCAGAGACTGTCATATTTCTAGAAATGTCATACAACTGCCAGGGAGATGTTACTATTATTTTACATTTTCAAGGTAAAATGGAGAACGGAACATGTTCAAAACTCTTGAAATACTTTGGCCAGAAATTTTCCCCAAATTAGCACAAAGACAAAGTAGGTTTTTCAAAACAATTTTCAGCATTGGAAACATTATTTTCATATTTATCACATGTGGTGTTCTCATTTTAATATGCAGTTAGCATCTTTTTCATGTCAACATTGTAAATTAAAGGAAAATTGAGATTTTTTTGTGCTTGCTGATGAACTGAAATGCCACATAGGGCCGGTTTCACCAACCAGGATCAAATTCGTAGTTGATCCGAGTTCAGTGATCCTATCCGCGGATCAAGGCTACTTGATCCCTGGCGGGTTTCGCCAACATTTTATACATCACAGTGAATCCGGATCCATGATTCGTGACGCGTCGTGAAAATGCGCGCGTTGGCAACAATTTTCAATGCATTGTGGTATTTCTCGCAGGTCAGCTGTAGAAAACGATTGTTTTGATTTTAATTCTTTCCGTCTGTGTGTTCTTCTTCGGTATGGATTCACTGACGTTGAAATAATGCATAGACTACGCCAAATTTCTCTCAGTAAATGAGAATCTACTCGAAAGCTTAATGAGTAAATACAAAGAATTTAATGCTCTTTCTTCACATTCAAAATAATCGCTTCTATTTGAGAATTACTCGTGGTGTCTCTCCCCCATAATTCATCAATGACTTCATTAATAAATAATAATAAAATAATAATAATATTTATTGAGTCACATTTCGAAACAAATCTTTTTCACGGACACAAATTACCGTAACAAGAACAAAACACTTGAAAGGAATTACACACTAAAAAAAAGTATTCAATAAAACTAGCCACGTCAATTGGATACAGTACACAAATGCTTTCTATTACTAAGGCTACTTATAATTACATTAATCTGAAGCCAAAATATATTTAAATTTTACTCAATACCAAGATTCTACCTTCAATGGTTACCCTCTTTCTTTACAATACTATCTAAAACACGTTTGCTACAATATTCGCGTATCTACTTCTAACGAAACTTCCATTACGCGAATCTAGTCCAACTACAGGTGTTTACTTAAAAAACACGGAAAATGGAATAGTAGACCCAAGACTGAGACAATAACTCCGATCTGCCCGTATATCCACCACTCGGCGATGGATCAATGCGAATCAAATCGATCCGAGATCAACATGTTGATTCTGGTCATGTGGCTAGAAAACGATACAACGGATCACCGAACGTGATCCGGATCAATCGGATCATCATCTATTCCTGTTGTGCCGCGGGATAACGAAATTACTTCGCATTATTAATGAATAATACATTTACAAATATTATCTTCCCAAAATTACTATACAAAAGAGCAGGCAAGACCTCTGACTGCACACACGCAGGCAAGACCTCTGACTGCACACACTCAACTGAGAGCTTCTGACTGCACACACGCAGCAAGACCATCTGACTGCACACACGCAGCAAGACTCGACTCACACAGCAGCAAGACCTGCTACTGCAGCACACGCAGGCAAGACTCTGACTGCACACACGCAGGGGCAACCTCTACTGCACACGCAGCAGACCTCGATGTCACCACGCAATGAGAGCTTTCTGATGTACTAAGTTCAAAACACAAATACCACAGTGGAGCTTGCTGCACCATCCTCGCACTCTTCTGCAACTGAATTTTACATTGTGCATTTATTTTCTGTCAAGGTATTGAAATATTTTGATGAAAAATCCAAATTTTCTTTGCATGCCAAGAAATTTTCTGCCTTTTTGATCTTGATCCTGATGAGAATAACAGTAAGGGAGTGAAAAATGATATCTCCATTTTCTCAGCAGTGTTATCTTCAGCCAATAAAAACTGTAATCTTCAAATGAGTAAACACTCAAATTTCTTTTTAGTTTGGAACTTTATTCAATTTAATTCACAGGCAGTCAGCCCAACTATATAGTTAAAAATGCAGAGTATTAAATAATAATAATAATATTTTTCAACTTTCATTTAAATGTATTAAATGTCAGTAGATGCGGGCACAGATATAACTGGCTGTTTGCTATTCTAGAAAGTTTTATAATGGTCAAATGGAGACAATATGATGTTCTGTGGATTGAAATTTTAAATGAATTCTCACTTTTCAAATTGTGTATTTGCTCATTTTCAATGGATAAAGATTTTAATTGAGGTCATGATTTGTCATCATATATTGGATAGAGGCATCAGCATAGTTTCTACTCGATTGCATTTTGTCAAATTTGAAATGTTATAATTTGGGCTATTGATGGTTTTGGTAAGCCAGATTTAAATGCCTCATAGGAGAAGAACTTGTGTTGAATTCTTTCAATGTGATTAATACGAACTCCAAAATACAGAGACCCTATAGGGAATGCATATATTAATATTGATTTCTTGAAAGAAATGGACAATATTGTCAGAGGTTCAGTTTTCTCAAAATTTGTACTGTCTCTCTTTTATGTCCTTAAAATCTCATTGGTCATAAAACAAGTATATTTTAAACTCTTTTAAGTAACCACTCTTTTAAGTAAGTCCAGAACAATGACCAGTTTTGAGCCTCTGAAAGTCCAAAAGAAATCTACTGAAATTTCACAGCCAAACTTCAAAGAAATATAGTTAAAATTTTGCAGCAACTTTGATCCCCCAGTCCACTTGCAAAAGTTTTGAAAGCATCAGCTTCTGTGACCGGACTCAACATCTATGTGGTTGTCCTGCATTCTTGACACAGGGGCTAAGTGTTTCAACTGTCTTGATGCGACCTTCCTCAGGAGAAAATGCAGAGCGGCACAATGCATTTCCCCCTGAGAAACGTCACAGCATGAAAACTGAAATGTTGCTATCTCTGCCTTTTCTCTGAATATTATTTCTGTCTACTTGACAGCCGGGGTGGGGTAGAGCAATGTTACCACTTACTAAGGGGACGGACACATGGTAGTGTGGTTATGCCATGAACTGCAATTTTCCAGCATAAAATCTTATTATATTTATTTAAGATATTCCTTGTTTAGGAGACACATTGTATTATTGAAGGATTGACATTTTATTATTACACATTTTTGCATATCTAAGAGATTTTGTTTACCAAACCATTCTGGTGGTGAAAGACATTTGTTTCAAAATCAAAAAAACACACATTTTACAGAGAATTATGTGAAAAATGCTGTTTACAAATCCAAAAATTCAATGTGATTAATGTGAAACTGTTTACTTTCACAGATTTTTTGTTGAGAGAAATTGCGACCAAAACTGCTACAGAGTATTAGATAATTAAGAACTGAGTGCTTCCTCTATCAGTGTAGAGAACGTGATGTTCCCCTGAATCATTAATTCCTTTTTATCAATATTCTTTTTTTCTTTTTATTTCTTCTGCTTCATCTTGGTCTTCCTTTTTCGTCTCCTTCTTCTTCTTTTTTTTCTTTGCATTTGTTTTAGACTTCTTCACGTTATTAAGTATCTATCCACTTTTTCAAATTTAATTGTAGGGCCTTGAGGAATGTGAATTGAGAAATCAGAGGATAGAGGAATGATCATTGGCGGGGAGATCATTTCTTGCAAACGTGTTGCGCTTGTTTGACAGCTTTTGCTCTTGCAGGACACATGCTCAAGACATTTCTTGCCTTATTTTTTCACAGGACACCACAAAAACTGCATTAAAAACTCCAGTATCTCCTTCAAAAACAACCAAAACTCTCTTAAAATCTGTATCTCAAGAGCCAGAAGAAAAAAAGAATGATGCTTTTGATCGCCATATTTCAAGAGTGAGTATAGCGAGGAGGTTCTGGTAAAATCATTAATGTTATGTTTCCGAACGGTTGTCTTTGCTTTTCGTGACTTCTGTGATTTTGATGCTTGATAGATCATCTTTTAGTATTAGGTGTAATTTTACTGTGCATGCTGCACATAATAATTTATATTGTTTCAGTGAATCTAAATTTTGTCTAATCCTGCTATAAAATTTATCCAAAGATAAATTTCAAGTTATTTGGACATAACTAGAACTTTATATTTTGTTTCTAAGAAGGATGAAAATCTATTCCTGCTATTGCCTGCTCTGTGGAGAAAATTGTAAAGTATTGCTTGTATTATTGCTGATATTATGAATATGTCCAACTGAGAGATTAAGTTGAACTTGTAGGAATAATGAAATATACATTATTCATTTCAATTGATGTACAATAATATTTGTAAAAGGACAAGTTGGCCTTTTATGTAGATGTGTAGTGTTCAATCATCTGAATCTCCATTGAAAAGGGTAAATGTACTATTTATGAGTTGTTTAGCAGGTCTTCGTTAGGCAAATGAATATGGCTCATCCTTGCTTGAACCCAGTGTTCCAAATTCTGGTCATGCAATATGTAATTCTTACTTGGATCCATGCGTACCTATAATGTCCCTTGAGTTAGGCCAATTTCATAATGGAAGTATTAAGTGAAGTCAAATGCTACATTTTCTTAATGTACTTTCTTTCAAATAAGGGAGAGTAATTATGGGTAAGAATAAAAAAAACAAATCAGCACATTCTTACAATTACTGATAAATGAATTGCAGCAAAAAACATCATTTGATGTCTATAAACCTTTACTTGGCTAAACTGATGCAATTACTTTACATTGTCTTTAGCTCTCCAGAAAAATATATGCTCTTTATTCAAGAATTCCAAAAGTGATTCTGTTTTTTTGATTTTGAAAGTATATTGATTTACATAGTATATTATTTCATACATTTAATTACTTCTAACTTTTAGTAAATCCTTAGGGATTTTGATGTCAAACTACATATATTTTATAAAGAATTATTTAAGTGTTTTTTAAGAAGAGAAACCAAGGATGGAAACAGTCAAATATGGAAAACCTTTCATCTTTTAGCTGAGCTGAAAATTATCTCAAGTTACATCCTACTTGACACTTAGAAGCCTTCTGGTGGAAAACTAAATGCTCTGAATTCCAGGTCAGGTTCTCGTGGGAACATAGGATGCGAACCTTTGTCCCCTTTTTTGTTTGATAGTTTCAAGCTAATGGTAAACAATGTCAGATATACAAATACAACTTTCTAGATTGTACATTCACTGTTATCTATATTTGTATTGTCTGAATGAAATCCTTCACCTAGTAGTTACAAACGAGAAGGTTCGCAGTCCAGAGATAAACATTTCTATATGCTATGATGCTTTCCATTGTTGTTGGTTGCTATGATTGCTCATTAGCACATTGATAACAATACCTTATCAAACTTTAGGTACCAACTGATATTGAATACCTCCAAAATCGATGGCATCAATCTTATAAATAAATCGTGTTTAACTGATGAAACATGTTCTGAAAACAATAAATATTACCCTATTGTATTTTCAAAGGCTGAACCATTTAAGGCTTTTTGAAGCATTACAAAAATTTGAGTTTCTTCTATGTTTGTAAATCTGATAGTGCTGAACTTAGTAGCTTCAAGGAAAACTATAGGAATTCTAGTTATTTTCCTTGGCACCTTCTTCATGCCTATTTTCATCCTTCCCTCCTTTTTCCATTCCATGTATATACTTTTTTCCAATGGAGTCATCTTCATATATTGCAATATAATATTAATTATTTAATTGAACTTGCTCTGACTCATAAAAAATGTTGTTTTTTTCTCAGGATGAACAGTCGCTTCGAGATGTAGAGATATTGTTTTCAGTAGATGTGGAAAATCTTCTGAACAATCCAGATGACGACTTGCCTGAAGATGCAAACAAGAACCTGGATGAGGTTAGTCTTAATCTGAGCAAACTATTACTATTGTTTCATAAATTGTGTATTTTGGATCATAAAGAATGCCATAGTGAGGGCACAGTTATACTCCAATATTCCTACGAATATTACCCGCACCCTAATTTTACTGAAAGAATCTTGAAAAAAGAAAAGAAAAAAAAAACACATTCATTTTGCATTAGGAGGAAAAGTATTGTGTTCTATAAAGTTAACACAAAAAATTAATTGCAAACCAAAACTCCATTGTCATGGTCGCTTGCTGAAAACTGGGAAAAGTCTGGGAATTTCAGTGACCAGAATTTAATTTTTGGATTATTCGTTTGACAGTTTGAGACAATTATAAAACTAATTTTTTCTCCAAACAATATAAAAATTATTAAATTGGTGCATCGCTATTTTTTCACAATTTGTATTTGTTAAGCAAATTTTGTCAATTTGTGTTTTCTCAATGAAGTATTTACAACAACAAAAATTTTTCTTGAAAAAGTGGTAAAAGACTGGCAATTTTTTTCTGGAGAGGAAAAATTAAAATTTGTAATTGTTAGCCAGTTACAGAGGGAGAAATTTATTAAAAACTTCAATCCACTGATACGTGGGCTTGATAATAGACCCAAATACAGGTCCTTGCACTGCATTTTCTATGTAAAGAATGCTATATTTAGCACTAAGATGTCTAAATTGTGAGCTGTTTCTTTCAACTGTTTATCTTTCAGAAATGGTTAAAACCCTCTGGGGATGAAAAAAAAAATGCAAACTTGTCAATAACAATTGACATAGAAAGGTCAAATAGTGCCAGTGTTTCATAAATTTGCATTCAGATGGACACTTATGAGTGTGAAACTTAATAGTATGAAAAATACACACGTAAATAGTCTGCTCTGAAATCAGATTTCATGGCATTTATTAAGCAATATGCAATTATTTTAATGTTTGAACCATGTGAACCTTGGAAGAAATGAAAGCTATTCGTATCCCCATGAGCAATCCTCGTCCTTAAGCAGATTTTGTGACAAAAATGTAACTTACTGACTCTGAGCCAGTGGAGTGTGCTGGAGGGTTAAGTGAATGCATTGTAGGAGATGGAAAGAGGCAAACAATTTTGCTGAGGCTCGATATTTGTACAAAATTTAATTTACAGTGCTGATTCATGTTCATTTGGTGTTGTCGTGAAGATATTTTCTTGTGGTTGATTATAGCACAATTGTTGCAATGAATTCACGAGGGCCATTTGCATTTATGAATTCATAACATTTATTTTGAGCTGACAGCAAAAGTTTAAACAGCACAGTTTAAAACCATTTAATATTATTATTGTCCTAATACATTAAGTATCATATTTCTCATCTTTGTAATGGATATTGAATAAAATTGTTCATATATCTGGGGGTTGCCATTGATGAGATTAATATTTTTGATGCTGCACTTTTAATTTTATACTGGTGGCACTATTATCTCCATTAACCTTGTATTGCTTTTGCATGATACCATTGCCTCATAATTCTACCAACACTGTTGTTATTTGAACAGTATTCATATAAAATTTGAATTATTAGTAACCCCCTCCTCTTTTTTATTTTAGACCCGCTGTTAAAAGAACTAACAAAATAATTCGGAAAGATAGCAGAATTCATTTTGATATACTGTTGATAATTTTGAAATATTAAATTTATGGTAATGTGATGTGATCAGTAGTTTTCTTAACATTAAACTGAGAATTTTTGCAGGATTTTGATCCTTTTGGATCTGTTGTTCTATACTCCGGAGATGAAAATGATTGTGGAGATGGATTGGACTATGAGGTAAGTCTCTTCCCTTAAATTGAACTCTTATAAGAGATACAGATCTAAATTTAATTAATAATATGTCAGAATGCCCATTCTTTAATGTGTTGCAAAATGCCTTAATGTGTCTGCTGATCAGCAATTAACTGTAAAATCTCACTAAATCCGTCATAAAGACAATAATACAGTGTTTCTAACACTGTATTAAATGTTTATGATGTGTAACCAGTGTCAAAATGTTCAAATATTATGGTTTATTTTTCCCCTCAGTGGTGTTTGCAAATGTTTGATAAACACAAAATTAGTTGAAATAAAAACTAGTTCCTGACAAACTTAACTTGCTAAGAGGTGATTGATGTATAAACAAGTATGTAACAAAATTGGGGTCGGATTATGCCACGCAGGAAAACGTGGTCGCAGGAAACATGCTTACAAGATTCTACTAGATTAGGATGTGCCACTTGGTGTTGAAATTTTAAATGTAATTAACATTCAGTGTTTGCACACCTAGGATGAAAGGATGCATCAAATAGATTTACATCCAAAAATCCTTCAGTTGAGTATTTTTATCATAAAATTGGGTATCCATTAATATTTGTAGTTGTTTAAGGAAAAACTGACATTAAATTTGGAATTTGAAAGTTATATAGTTGTAGACCACTATTTTAAAAGTGAAAATAAGATAATACTAGAACTCCATACCTCAAACAGCCTGGTCCTCTGTTACATCATAAACTCATTCATAAAAATTTCACTAATGGATTTGTTCTTTTTTATTAATTGTTTAATTCTTAAAGATATCATAAATATTGTAAAGAGCGTTTGGGTCAGTTACTCCAATTCTTATCTTTTTTGTTTTCCATTGTGTTTTTCTTTTATTATATATGTGTGCGTGTGCATGCATTTTTTCTTCTTTTAATTTTCCTTCGTTCAATTTTTTAATTTATTTTCTGGTAAGAATGCCTATTGGTTTGCTTCTGAACACTACATAACATTAAATGTGATTTTTCTCCCTCTGTTACATTACATACAATTATTTTTGTATTTTGAAGTTAAATAAAGTAGGCCCAGGTTTGTTTGTGGGTACATATTCTGGTATTGCTAAGCATGTATAAACAAACAGAATTACTTATATCTATAAGATTCAATTGTACAGATAATCTATGGAGTGAGGGCACACACAAAAGCTTAACTTCCAAAAATTTTAAAAAGACATTTTGTTGGTTACTACAAATAAAACAGTAACTTAACGTTCCATAATGGTCCTAAAATTAACGTTTTAAGGACCTAGGATGTTCCGTATTAGAGCAATGCTTGATGGTAACTTGTGCTGCCCAAATTGTGTTGCATATTGCTTCTGCTCCTTTTAACAACTTAATCGCTTAATCTAAAAAATTTGACTTTATCCCAAATCTGTTTAATGCACCTTTGGGTGTTAATTCCCTATTTAGAAGTAAATTTTGGGGTGGTTGCAATAGATGGTGGAGTGTCTGCAGTGGTTCGTGGTGATGATGAAGCCTTATAAATTGAACAAATCTGTCCTTGGCATATTATAGTATGTAGAATGGATGTTAAGCTCAGAGATTCACTTGTTTGTCCTAATGTGGATATGTGATTCAGTTTGTTTCACAGGCTGATGCATACGCAGCTTGCAACTTCCTAGAGAACCCAGATTCACTTCATGAAATTGAGGAAGCAGAAGCTGAAGATCGTGCATCAAGTAAGTGAACTATTAAATGAATTAATTATTTTTATATTATAATTAATAATAATTATTATATTAATATAATAATATATATTATATTATATTATATAATTATATATATATATATATATATATATATATATATATATATAAATAATAATATATATTATATAATTAATATAATAATAAATATAATAATTAATAATATTACAATTAATAATAAATAAAATAAAAATTAAATGAATCTATTAAAATAGGTTCACTGGTTTATAAATAGTCACGTTTTACAGGCATTATCTTATTAACATGATTTTATTCAGCTTTTTGTGTTTTGGGGCCCATTCTGCCTATCATCAGGTAAAATAATGTTAATATCATGTTAATAAGATAATACCTGCATAATGTGATTGTCTATAAACCAGTGAACCTATTGTAATATAGACATAAAAATACATACAGTCAATGCCGTTACTAATACTTGACACTATTGTACACGTTTTTTCCCCCTTCTATGAGCATAGGCCAAACAATCCAAGTTATTTAAAGTGGTTTCTTAAGGAAGATGTACAAAGTAAGGAACCCACATCAGGGCTAAAAGCACTTGTGACAAATCTAAAACAAAATAAGAAGAAAAAAAATTATTTCCTGCAGAGGTTACTTTGGAGATTACTTGCTCAAAAAACAATCAAACCAAAGATTACTATTAAGTTTTAATTTTATTTTATTTTCCCCTCAATAAATAATTTAACAAAATGAAACAAGTAGCAAATTGTGGTCATGCTTTCTATCAATTAATAAATATTGATGTTTTAATAAAAAATGAAATAAGCCTTAAAAGAAGAAAAATGTTGTTCAAAGATGCACTTTATGAGAAAGTTACTTTTTTGTAAAAATCTGTTAAGAAAACTTTTTTGCCTTTGAGGTCATGAAAAAATTAAGTTTTGAAAATTGCAGAAAGGCTTATTACTATTGAATGTAGAAAATTAAAATGAGATTTTTCTGTATGTAAAACACTAAGGATGATTATTCATAAAGGAATTTGTGCTATCAACACTACCAAATTTTGTAATATTTTTCTTTAAATGAAAGGTAGTGGGCTCGAATGTTATCACTTCCTGTTGTTAGCTTGATTTTTAGTAAAAACACTACATTTTAATTAAATATTAAAATTAATAAAATGAATGCTTATCTGCAGTCATTTTCAAGACATACTATGGTCCATGTTAGTTGTCTTGGCCGTTTTGTTTTGGAGTTGCAAAGGATCTATCAAGAGCAGTCAATGTTGATCAAGAATTGCGAGGTCTTTAAGTTCAAAGATAATTTTGAAATTCTACCATCGGTGAACACATATGTAGCAGACCAGCAATCTTCTGACATGAAATGTTTAGCAATTATAACTATATGTGGTGAAGTAAATTTTTTAAAGTTACAGTTAATAGCAGGATTTCCTGCTATAATCCACAACTTACTTGAACAGATCTTTGTAAATAGAGAATATTTTGATTACGTTTTCAGAAATTGTTTATGTACCCTCATGAGTTCACAGAGAATAGTGATTATATTGCTCCAGAATTTGTAAACCTCTCAATCCATTAGTCTTGGAAAATAACTTCTGACTGACATGAAACCATATTTTTGAGGTTTTCATTTTTCCAAATTGTCATAATACTTTTCTGTTGTAAATTTTCTGCAGGTCTTTCTTTGTGCGATGTAAGGTGCGATGCAAAGTTAATCAAAAGAAATAAATGTTGAAGATCATCTCTGAGTGCACTGAAGGGTGTTGATATAGTGGTCAGAATATAGTAATTAGAGTGGTGTTGTGTTTATAGTTGATTGTGATTATCATGATGCTGATATATCCCTCAATGAAGATGAGGAACATTGAAGATCAGTACAGAACTTGCTGACATTCCAACCATAGTCTTCTAAAAGGAATACTATTTAAATGTTTTCTTCAAGGAATGCACAGGGTAGACTCAAAAACTACTCTGAATACAATTAGGTGGTTTGACATATCTTTGTTACATAGTAATGCCATTGCTGTAACCTAAGCATCAGCAAATCAGAAATTCCCGCATTTGTACTGTGTTGTGACCTTCAATTAAGGAACAAGAGGAACCCATTGTTTGAATTTTGCAGTTAATCAGCTGAATAACTTTGGATGTGAGTGTTGTTAATTGTGATAAAGTGCTTTATATGAGTAGGAATGGTGCTGTTATATTTGTTGTTAATATTAATCACATATTGGGTTGAGATAATTATATTAAACCTGTTAGAGCATTAAGTACATCACTTTCCCCCTTGGCACTCAAGTGTCAAACACTTTCTTACTTTATTTGAATGAGAAGATTATAATGTTCAGAAGATTCAAATACTCAAAATGGATAAAATGCACCCGAAGTGAAAATAAACCCCAAAAAAGAAAAAATAAATAGTACGATTTCAGAAGTTTCAAATTGGTTTCGTAATAACAAATTAATAGTTAATGAAGGAAAAATGGTTTCAATGTTGCTAGAAGAGTTGAAGGTTGTTTATATATTTAGTTTTTTTACTTGCCTTATATATTACATATTCTTGCACCAGATATACATTGGAGATTCCATGAAGAAATCACAGGTTTTTTGATAAAAGGAAAGATTTTGCAAGCAAAGAGGAGGAAATGTGACACTTTGGATTCTGAGACTTAAACTCAATGAAATCAGTGGTGAATTTTGTCAGGTGTGAGTTAGAGGATTTGTGCATTAAAACAAAAGTTGTATGGAAATATTTACTACGTAGAAGATTTTAATGAGAAGTGAAATTCTTGTTTGCTCAGTGTTCTACATTTGAGCCGAAAGGTATAAAAATGATAAAGAAATAATAAAGAAACTTCATCTCTTACAACTCAGAATTTGGAGGATTTAATAAAATAGTAAAGAAAATTGGTTCCATCGAGAAAAGTGCAAGAGATCATTGAAATGTTTCATTAAGAAACCTTTATTGCCACATAGTAACAACTTGCAGATTATTCTTCACTTTTTCAGTTACAAATCATATTTAATTTCTTTAAATCAAATTTAAGTCCATCACAGACTTTTGTTAATATCTTTCAGTGACTCCTTCCATAACATTAAATCCTAATGTAAAATGTTTTCAAAAATGCATGATAGTTAAAAAGTTTGCAAGATAAAGCTCTGTTTAGAATTTGAGTCACACAGGAAATGCCTGATACTATCAAGTTTTTAAGAATAATCAGCGATTTCTTCAATTTTTGTGTGAAAGAGGGGTCTTCATTTTGGATAGAAAACAAAAATATAACAATTCCAAAACTGCTTTTTGTTATTTTTTACAAATCTGTTGTATTTTTGTATTTGGAAGATTACAGATTATTTTATTACTGCATTAAAAGCTCTAAGAACATAGCTTTAAAGCAATAGAAGAAGCGGGTATGCACTGTTGCCAATATTGTATTAAGAGTTATGTGATTTTCTCACCTTATGTCACTAAAAGGAAGTTAAAAAGGACGTATTGGAAGCTTTGAAGGACTTTTAATGAAAACCCTTTTTTGCACCATTGGTTAAAAGTTTCAAAATACTAAAAACTTTGTCTCCTGGGAATGTCTTGTTTTGCTACAGAATGGTTCTACAGTGCATCTGGCTGTGCAAAATAGCTTAATGATATTCACATTACTGAGAAGAAGGTTGAAACTTAACTTCACCTGGAGGAAGATTGCAGAATGATGGCTAAAATGTTGGCAACATGCCTAGGGTGTGGTCTCTCCCATACCGTCAAGATAGCTCATCTCTCCAGCTGTGGAAAACTGCGCTTTTAATGATCTCACACCAAAGTTTGGTGTCTGCCTGTAATGCCATAGGAGAAGATATAATCTTGTAATGCTTACCAAGCTGTAAATAAAACTTGTATATAATTGTGGATTTGAAGCTGGAATCTGAATCTTAAACAACTTTGAGTGTTTTGAGATGATGTATACTTTTTGTGAGAACTGTAAAATGTGTACTCCAAGATAATGTCGTCAGAACAAGAATGTAACTAGGATGATGTAGGAATATCACACACCTTGGGACATTTGAAAGTATTTTGCTTGTTAAAAAATTATATTGAAATTGCATGTATAATTTTTGGAAAAGGCCAAATTCCTAAAGTAATGAAACCTATGAAATGATGATAACTGTAGTTTTATTTTGATGTTTAAAGGATGACAAAAACCTGAGTGAACTAAAAAGTCAAAATAACACATTTTACTGTAAATGTCATTTTTTCAATGGTGAAGAGTTTTTTCCACAAAAAGAATTAAGTTTCAATTGCTGCCAAGATTTCTGCTCAGTGATACCTCTACAGTAGCTGTGGAGAGAAGAATTTACTTCCTAAAATGTGCAATCAAGACCAGTTATTCCAAATTGTGGAAGGAGAAAGAACTACTGGGGAAAAGAGAAAGAAAAAAATTTCATCTAGAATTGCTACTATTAAATTTTTGAGAACTTTCACTGCATGTGAATGAAATATCAAATTATAATAGTATTTCGTTTAAAAAGAATGTGTAATGTTTATATAATAGTTTCATAATTGAAGAGAATAGTGCTGTATCTGAGGCTTGTTGATTTATTCTTTAGATGGGTAAAGTCGTATCTATAATTGTCATTTTAATTTTTTTTTAATTAATTTAATTTAATATTTGTCAAAGAATTATTTATGAGAGCATTGGTAGTTTACATTATAGTTCTATGGTGATAACTTCAAAAACTGCCTTTACATTTTGATTGCTTTAATCAAAACATTGTCTGCTTAAGCTATAAATATACTTTTGGAGGAAGGAGAAAGTAAACTTTAATAACTGCATGAATATGGAACTTACATGGTGCTCTTTATTGTAAATGTTATAAAAGTCATGGCTTGAATTGTTTGTTGTTGTTTTTGTTTTTGTATTTTTTTAAATAGAAATGTCTTGTGTACTTTTTTCAGCCTCCTGGAACGAAAGGGTTGGCTTCACCTACATTGTAATTTTTCTGTGTGTGCAGGATGATGA